ATTTTTGATCGCAATGCATATTTGTATGTAAGCTTTCAATATTAAAAAAGGGAGACTTTTGACAAACGCATCAGAAATTCTAAATTAAATTATTAAAAAGTATGATAAAATAAATAAGTAATTCTATATTCATTTATATGAAAGGCACTTAGTTAAATCTATTTCTTCGCCAGGAAAAAGCAATAGGTTGTGCTCAGTAAGTAAATTTAAATCAAAAAATGATACATGACATTATAGATTATTTAGAGAGAACGATAGAATAAAAATTATGAAATATTTGAGCGCCTGAACACTTATACAGCTTACATAAATTTTTTAATTAGAAAATTATGTAAATTACGATTAAAATTCCAAGCAGTTATTGGCTCTTTTATACATAATTTGTAAAAAGGTTTGGATCAAATTACAAGAAAAAGATAGGTATCTTCTAATAATCTTTTTATATTTTATGATATGTGCTAATTATGTTACAGAAGGTTATGTAATGCATACATTAGTTTGCATTTATGGCATGTCTGATGCTTATAACATCGTTCGCAATATCATATAAGAGCTATAAATGATAAAGCGTCAAGTTCAAATCCTATAAAATGACGAATCATATCATCAGTTGAAAGCGTGCTATAAGCAAATACCTAATGTCTCTACAGCGGCGCCCGAACTAAAAGGGTTGAGTTTGGTATTTCTCCTCACCCAGGATTTGGTGATTGGGTCCCCTAAAACCCAGTCGCGCTTTAAAAGGGGGAGTATATAAGGTATTTCTTCCCCCTTATTGTTATGCCTTCGTGGTGTGGTGGTCTGCACGTTGTACGCTTATTCCAGAGGTCCGCTGTTCGATTCACGGCGAAGGTGTTGCATATTTTTCATCTTTCCTGTTTCCAAAATACCTAATGTCTCTACAATACATACACGGGTATGTGTGTCCACGCGTGTGTATTCCAAGATATGCTTGCTATATATTTTGTCTTGGCGTAGTTTATTATTCAGAATTACAACTTTTATACGTAAAACGCTAACATATATATATACTAATGAGTCATTCATATATGTATATATATGTATACTAACATAAAGGAGAACAAAAACTTGCAGTTGGGGCGTAGACAATGCATAAGACGTAATTTGAGCTGATTTTTCTTTTCGTCTGTATACTAGTAACTTTCAACTTTGAATTCTGTTTTGAAAGCGAAAGCTCGCTAGCCTCAGAATAAGTGTAGGTAAAAGATAAATATGACTAAAACTTAAAAGGAAGTAAACCAAAATAGACTTAGAATAATAATCAAAGGCTGATAGACTACAGGCTTATAGCACTTCTTTAACTGATGATACGACTTTTTCTTCATTTTATAGGCCTTCGAAGTTGAATAGAATTCTAACTATTGGTTTCAAAGAAGATAATATATTAAAGAATCTACTAGAAAATAAGTTATTATTTTATTATTTTGCAGCGGAAGCAAATAATTCATCTAAAAAAGATGACAACTGAAGTACATTAAGCATACGAATAGTGTAAACAAAAGGTCACTGAAACTCTCTACAAATTATTGGCTTTATTATTTTCGGCAAATAAATATTTCCATCTAATTCCTTGCCGCCCTCTTTAAATCGATTAACGGAAATCACAAGGAACTTCTTCAATTAATCGAAATCTGTAGCAAATTATCGTCCAGCACTTTAATTGAAGTTGCAGTTGTGAATAATATTAGGCCATGAGTAGTTAAAGCACTCTATATGCCGCCCTCTCCCAAATCCGAACACCGTGTCTCTTAATAACCACTGTTAGCACCGTTTGCACCACAAGGATGCTGAAAGAAACGTTTTCATTCTTTGTAATATAATTTACTAGTTTCTGATTAGAATTGTTAGAATTTCGAATTGTTTATTGTTAATTTTTAACAGGAAACTATGATACAATGTAATAATATGTGTTTGTTATTAAATTGCACAGTAGCTTCACGCATAAAAGTAGGAAACGTAATTTCAGGAAAGAAGCATAAAAGATGAACGGAAGCTGTCCTTTACTAACATATTAGCTTAATTCTTAGTTTTAACAGTTCTGTTGTTGTTACCAATCTCGCTTGTCTATCTCACAGAGAACCCACGCAATTCAGCTTGCTATGGACTCAAGATTGCGTCTGTCGTTGATAAGATCTTATACAGGTAACAGTTACGACTTTGCTCAGTCCCTCCCCTAATACTGAAGGACTTTCTGCTCGAAGCATATTTAGAGTGTCTCCATGCCGCACAGGCACTATACATTTACAAATATCCATGCCTTCTCCGGGTTTCAAGTCCGTGCTTTTTGGTATGGTAATCAGCGTCACTAATCACTATTCCGGTTGGGCGGCAATTTTAACAGTATTTGATGCAACTACATATTTCAATTTTTCTTACAGAAATTCTTAAATGATGGCAAACATCATATTCATAACAGTCTAACGCATATCTTCTCAGAGATATATAATTTCTAAGAAGACAAGCTTTAAATAATAAAGAGTGTTAATTATTAGGATATTTACGTATTTAATGTACACTTTAAAAAAAAAGTAGGAGGTCGAAAACTTTGAAACAAACTGCATATGAAATCGTGTCAACTTCTCAAGACAATATTATTTTTTACAATTTTTGATGAAAATACAATCAGTAATTTTACTTGTAAATTTAAGTACTTTAGAATTTATTCTAGTAAATATTCCTGCTCAATAATATGTCTATTAAACCATTCAAGGGCTTTTATATTAAGAAGTAAAGGTAAATTGTTATTAAAGACTTCATTTTAATGCATCAAAACTTAAAATTCGCATATAAAAGAAATAACGGTTCTTCATTTATATAAGCTTGAAATTTCTGCTCAAATACCACTGGATATTCTGATATTCTCGCCTCAGTTTATATGCTGCTAGGAAATTCTGTTGCGTTCGTAATAGATTTTTCAAATGTATTTAGCACTTGCAAGGTGTATTTACTTAAAAATCCGATTGATATATAAATAACTGGTAAAATTGAATAGGTGTTGGCTCAACTATTTATGTACAAGTATAAGCAGACGATACTCGCTCCTAAAATATAGGATATTTCTGTGTTTACAATTGTTAGTAGTAGCTGCATCTATTATTAAGTCTGAATTTGAGTTCTTAAGCTATCAGCACTTTTTAAATCAAACTAATACTGATGGCTCACTTCCAGCCACTGTAAAAATGAATCTGATCACGCGAGGAACTTGCGGGACTTATGCATGGAGTGTTGTCTTCATGGAAAACCTTTCTATGCAAAACACGCTGGCGCCCATTCACTTTACATCTAGGATAAGTTCCGAGAACCATATTCAGCCCATCATGTCACCGAGAAAGAACGCAAAGAGTGAAATGCAAAATGCAAAGTATCTGAAACTGATTTTTTTCCCTGAAGAATACCTTTCGTTTGTCCCTTAAATGATACTTGGCCGTTATACGTGAAAACGATACTGTATAAAAACTGAATTTTTCTTTTAATTAAATATCATCACCGCATAGTCGTGTATTAATTATTTGGATGCAATTAAAAATACACAAGAGTCTGATCAATCGCGGAATTTGCGGGGTGGAATTTATTACGGGAATGATTCAATATTACACTTGCGGGAATGAAAATGCAGTAGTTGCAATATATAATTCCCTTGAGGGTACGAAATACGAAAATTATAATGTGTAAAAATTACAAATTGTTGTAGTTCAAGGCAGATATAGATAATAAACATAAAAACTTCTAGTTTGCGAGGTTCGAATCCCGCGAACGGGCTGGCTGCATGGGTGTTTTTGTGGTTTTCCCCATGTGTAACGTGTATACGAGCCAGTTTTCCTTAAAAAGTCCTCCACGAAGGCATCCCTCCCTTAAGGAAGATAGCCCTTGAGTGCTTTGCCGTAATCAATAAACTAAACTTCTAGTTTGCCGTAACATTTGTTACAGTCTTATCAAAGTTTCGTTACAATTAAACACACTTTCAAGAGTAAAACTTTGATATCAATAGAAGTAAACTATTATTTATATGCGTAAAAACAATTGCGATGATAAATCAGAAAATATATATACTAATGTAACTCATTTTTGCTTTACTGCGAAGCTTCATAATGCATTATCTCTTAATTTCAAGACCCTGAAAAATTTGTACCCGCCCAGAATTAAAGGCATTGGCGTCTAAAGGTTTGTTTAGTATTATTAAAAATATTATTTTATTATTTAATTATTTCAAATAATGTAATTGTTAAATATGTTGTTCATTTTGAACATGCAATAAATAATTTTGAAAGTAAATGCTTCTTATTTTAATTAAACATTTCTGGGCTATATAATACTACTTTAATTCATAATAATTTATAATTAAATTTTCCATATATTAAGGAACACAAAATCAATTTAAAAGCAAGAATGAAAAAAAATATAGTAGAATTTAATGACTTTTTAAATAGTAATTTCAACTTCTTGTTTCAAAATCAAAGAAAAATCTTAAATCGCAAAAAATCCCAAAACCAAAAGTAAATTCTAAATATTGAAAAGTAGTTATTGTCATTGACCGAAGATTAATCGACTTATCAAGGGGATAAACTAACCTACCATCAATTAACAATAACTTAATTAAGAGAGTGTTTCATCTGCTTCCAAGTAAGCATGAAATTATTTGCTAGATTCAAACCATAAGTCAAAATTATACTCAATCCTAATAAAGGCATTAGTCCATTTAAGCCGAGAATCTTGTTAAACAAAACAAAATAGCAAATAATCTTAAAATTAATGTGTCTATTAAGGAAAACAATTAATCTGAACGAGATGCTTACTTTAGAAGACATATCCCCTACACTCTCATTTCAGTTTCAAAAACAGAAGTAAACATATTAGAACATTAAAAGTTAATTCCAAACCATAAGACCTCGAAATTAAAGTTAAAAACAATTTTAAACATTTAGTTCATTACAAATTTTAAAGATCAAACTAGTAAGTAAAATTAACAAACTTACCTTCAAAATTTTAAGACCAAATGTCTCGAAATGCAAGTATTAAGTAATGGAAGGAAAAGTGTTGTCGTAAAGTGTAGTTTCTATTCAAGAAAGTTTAGCCTAAATTGGCGAGAAAATTCGAATTCTTCTTGGAGATAATACATAGAGAGTAGGCTGTTACCAAAAAAAAAAAACGTTAAAAGCTATTATTAGTTAGAATATAAATTCAAAATAAAGAAATTAAAAGTTTTTTTTTTTTCATTCTTGCTTTTAATTTGATTTTGTGTTCCTTGGAGATGGTATATGGAAAATTTTCATATTATAAATTATTGTGAATTATTAATTTATTACTTTGAAGCTTTAGCGCAAGTTATACGCTTTTTAATTTACTTTTAATTTCTTTAGTACTACTTTAACTTACTTTTTATAATTATTAAAAAGTTAGTAAATACACAAATAATACATAAATTACATTTACTGTTTTAAAGAGTACATTAAACTCAATTATTAGTTCTAAGATTTCTGTCAGCGACAATATGACATTAATGAAGATTTTTAAAAACATTTCTGAAACTTTTTAGTTCAACATTCGACTTCAAACTTAATTCGTCTGAAGAATTAACGTGTTACTATAAAGCAGCTTTGAATGCAATGTAGTTTATAGAAGCATAAATAAGCAGGCCTTAACATCCACTTTATCACTATAAGCAGCTACGTTCAGGGAAGCATTCACAATATGCAAGATTTATATAAGAGACAGCGAATCTACGTCTACCATAGATATTACGAGTCTTGTAGAAATACCTGAGGTGCAGACAAGTTCAACTAATTTCTCCTGGCATTAATTAGCATATATACATCGAAATTCTCTCCCGAAATTAGTCTAGCGAAAATCTGTTTAAGTAGAATTGTAACGTCGTTTACGTTACTGAAGGTTTCTAACTATCTTAACTAACGACGAGCACTTCGGATTTCCGAACATGTCACCTAGTTGTAAATTGAAATAGCTATCGAATGTAGTTTAAAACTTTTTTAAGAAGGATCTTCACGTATCAGTGAATAAAATTGTTTTTTGGCAGACAGGATGGTTGTTGTTGCTCATCCGTATTAATTACAGAATATATATCTTTTTCTCCATCAAACTTCTTAATTAAAATCATCCATTCTTTTGAATTCATGTCCAGCGAAATATTTGCTTTTGAAAAGTCAATATGTATTATTTGAGATCATTATTGCAGTTAGATGGGGAAGGAGAAACTACCGGTGGACTCAGATTCGTATTTTGAATAGCACAGAAATAAAGAACTTCTTAATTTCTCTTCGAAAATGGCCTACCGTTTCGGTACATCATTACATGTGTTCTTTTTGTTGAGATATTGAAATTACTCATGGATTCGGTCAGCTTGTAGGAATACCTAATCAGCAACTGCCTGAAAACAGTGACAAAGACAGTTATCACATTTCGTTAAAATCCAAAGCAAACATAAAATGGAATATTGCTCTAAACAGAAAATCTGCATAAATGTGGATGCACATGCTTACCGGGTTATTTGAAATATCTTTCCTAATGCATACAAACGCAAAACGCACACCCTCACAAAAAAGGGGGGACCATTCTATACTTTCCGTTCTACTGGGCCGGTTAACAAAATTTAACTCATTAAATTTTGTAAACTTTCTTGGGACATTTACCGAGAAATTTAAGAACTTTAAAACGTATATTTCTCCCGCCTTCTTAACATGCCTTCGTGGTGCAGTGGTTAGTACGCTCGACGCGAATTCAAGAGGTCCGTGGTTCGAGCCCCGGCGAGGGCAATGCTCATTTTCGTCTCTCCTTCTTTCAAAAAATACTTAATGTCTCTACAGTGGCGCCCGAACTAAAAAGTTGGTGAATGATGATTCTTCACACGAGGATTTGGCGATTGGGTTCCCTAAACCCCAGTCGCCCTTTGGGGGAGTATATAAGATATTTCTCCCGTCTTGTTAGCATGCCTTCGTGATGTAGTGGTCAGCACGCTCGACGCGAATTCGAGAGGTTCGTGGTTCGAGTCCCGGCAAGGGCACTGCTCATTTTTCACCTCTCCTGCTTTCAAAAATACCTAATGTCTCTACATCTAATCTTGGAGCACCTCTTTCAATTTGCGTCGAGACTTGGCAAAGTTCTTAATTTATATCAACCCATTTTCCCTTCCCTTTTTTGCACTGTGCATGAGCAGAAAAAATTTGCATCTTTCATTTTTTCCAATAAATTTAACAAAGTACGTAAAGCGCGTTTGGCATTATTATTTAGTCATAACAAATATATCACTCGTATATCTTTTGAAGTTTTGAATAAAGAACTCAAATGTTGAGCAGTATGCCTAGAAATACATCTATTTAAAAATGATGGTAAATATTTTATAGATTGTAATTCAAAAATGATTTTGAAAATTTCACAAATATTACTAATAAATGCAAAAATCATTCCAGAAAAACAATCCAATTTTGAGTCAAAATACCTAGGTTAGAACAATGCAGAGTATGAATCTAATATGTATTTTAAACCACGCTTTCGAGACATGAAAAACGTAAATTAAATTTCGTCAATCGGCCCAGTAGAACAGGAGGTATAGAAATGTTCCATTTTATTGTGCAAGGTGTAGGTATAATTTGTATACTTTCCAATTAATTTGTTAGATTCGCAAAACCTCTTATATGTTGGAAAAACCCCACGACTGATTACACAGGTACGTTATAGATATTAATATTAACAAAAATTTGTCACAAATCGCAGAATTAATTCGATTTTCCTAACAGGTTCCATTTTTAGTTAATTCCTTGCTGCATTGTGTTTCATAGTTTTAGTCACGTTTAAAGTGAACACGAGCTAGTTTTAATTAGAGTATTTTGCATGAAGACATTCTGTTCTTAAGCAGATAACCCTCGTGTGTTTTAATATAATTAGGCAGTCAGCTGGCCAATCAATATACATTTGGTCTTATTACCTTGTTTTCTCTTATATTATTACAGTTAGACTAAAACATTCGAAATACACAGCCCGGTGAATTTAAGAAAAGACTCGAGTTTCGAAAACTCAAATTTTCGCTCTTTTCTCTATCATTGTGATTTTTAGAATTCTAATCTAAAAACTGTTCACAATTTTAATTCAAAATTCTGAAAAGATAATTGTATTATTCTACAATTAAAGAACTCATCTGTAGAGTCATTAGGTTTTTCTTGAAACAGAAGTTATTTAAATTATTATACGACGGGACTCGAACTCTGGACCTCTCGATTACGCGTCGAGTATGCTTCCAATTTTATCGTGAAGGCATGCGGAAAGGGGGGAGAAAATACCTTATGCATTAAAACTGCAATGTCATTGATACTTGGATCATTAGAATCTGTTCAGTATTTTCATTAATTGTTCAAGTTAAAAAAAATTTGATGACTCTTAAGTTATCTGGACATATTTAAGTTTACTTACGTTAACTCTTGAAATAATGCTCTTCTTTTTTAAACTTTTTTTTCTTTAAAAAGTTGGAAAAATATAAAACATTTTAACTGTCACTCTAAAACAACTATATATACATATATTTTTAACTATGCTGCGAAAATGAAACTTAAGGTTTCTAGAGTTTTAGTTTTGTGCTTCACTGTCTAAATTTCCTTTGTTTCTTAAAAATTATAGGTGCCGACTAGTAGTCCATTGGGACCGCTGAATACTGGGTGATCGACGGAATTTGGGTTAGATCCCAGGGGAACGATCGGGCTGCATAATTGGTTTTCGTGATTTCCTCCATGTGTAACATGAAAATGTTCCTCAAAGGCTTCACCACGAAAACATTCCTCCTCTTAGGCAGATAGTCTTTGGGGCTTTGCCATATTTAAATAACCAAGTAACAATTGAAGCTTTTTAAAAAAAACTATTTTTAATTGATTTTGAATTATTTACATTGCTTTAAAATTTTTATCGAATAAAAAATTTTTATCAAGTACATTTTATCAATAATTTTCATCAAAAGATAAGTAATTCGTCTTAGGCTTATATGAAGACCTAAAGAGATTAAAAAAGATTCGGAGATTTTAATTGCCTGTTATTAGCAGCTAAAAATTTAAATGACGAAAATAATAATACTTATTTTTCTTTCTTAGCTCGTACATGATTTTTCCCCGATTGATTAAATTCTCCTTATTTATTCTTACTTTCTTTTAATGTAAATCCAACACTAGAAAAGCAATTCAAATAGAAAAAAGAAACGCTGCCCGCTTCTTAAATATGGAATAGTACAACGTCTAAATCCAATATTCTTTAACAAGAAATAATTTGTAACATATAATTTTCATTTAAATTCTAAAATTAAATTATTAATTGTATTAAATACATATGAAGAGAAAATAAAGGACATACGTACATATACGAAAGATGCCCCTGTTTTAGAGATAAACAGCAATTGTTTTAGAATTACGATTGTAAATTTTAACAAAATATACTATTGTTAATAAAACGTATTATTGTGCCAGATAATAATTCATATTCTTATGATTCGAAATATTTTCTTAGATCAAACAACGAGAATGTTTTCTTATATAAGTGTAAAAAAATGCAATATATTCTGAGGAACTGAAGCTTCCAAGTACCTACACCGATATGTTTTTATATAGTTTTGCGTTGTTGCAGAATACAAAAGGAATATTTTTCTCTTGCAGTTCCAGTACTGGATCCGCCCTCTCCCCAGGAAGCTCTTGCACATTTATAACAATCCTTCCACCGTTAGTCCTCTGCGTCCTTCAATGTCACTTTATCCTTAATGCCCGATCCTGGGTGTGGTCCTTCAGAGAATTGTGTCCTCATCTATTTCACTCGCGTGAGTAATGAGTTACCTGCATGTCTGTCCTAGTCCAATAATAGAACATCAGCGATGATGGTTTGGCTCTTTTCTAGTTTGACACTTGGCCGGACTTTGACTCCTTCGTTCTATAATAGAATAAGGGTTAATACTATTAGATATATATATGTATATATATAGATAGATAGGGACATACGTCGTAAAAATACGCATTTATAAAATAAGAAAATTTATAAAATATGAATCTCTACGTATGAAGGAACTTCCTTTTTATGTGCAATAGCTTTGTTTACGCTTTTTTGGCTTAGCGGTGGGTGAGTCATTAACTAGAAATAACTTATTAGTTTATTGTGCAGAAAGAGTAAGGGACTTCATTGCTTATGAATAAGAAGATATAAATAGCCTATAAAGAAGACGTTTTTAGAAATGATTTATTGTACGTTTAATAACTGTGAATAATTTTTACTTGTATAAATTTCATACTTCTTGTGAAAAAGTTTCGAATTTGCTCTTTAAATGAAATATTTCCTAATTTGACCTTGTTTTGGTTTTAAGATATTTAAAAAGTTGTTAAGAAGATTCTAAGAACCACATTTTCAGCAATATCTATAATAATAACGTAATATTTTTAAGGTTAATTACGTTTTACTAAAAATTGTATAAGCCATTTACTCGATGTTAAATAGACGTGCCTTTGTATTCTTATTTTTCCTGCAGAGTATCCTCTATAAAGATTTTCATGTTACATTAAACAGAAAAATACAACATTACATATAATATCACTAAAATTATCCGTATAAAATATAAAAAATCGGTAATAATATTTTTCGAAATCTGCTTTTAGTCCATTCAGATACTGCATAATGTTTTCCTTAATTTCTTGAGATACGTAAAGATAGGTTTCAGACAGAAAATAGCGCATTTTTAACACTTCAGTTTCTTGTTCTAGTAAAGAACTTTAAATTATTTTTTTAATGAAAGGCTCTATTTTGTCGGTAACTTGGTGTATATTTACTGAGAGGAGTGGATAAATTTAGCTGGTTTAATTTCAAAAAGATATCGGGTATGTATGTAAGTCTTAAAGACATTCCTGATCATAAGATTTAAATGATAGTCGAAAAGGGTGTTTCTGAAGAACACTTTGAGCTTAGACAATATGTCTAAGCTCAAATAAACATGTGAGAACTTTCCTTTGAGACAGCCGTCGAACCTCAATATTAACAAGTAGGGTTTTGTGAATATTGCCCATTTTTTGACACAATGTTAAGAACAACCTCGAATTCCTGTGGTAGGATTTAATGATATTGACTACTTTTACAGAACCATGTGAAATATTTTTCATACCAGTAGGAAGGGCTTCGTTGCTAGAGCTTGTCGACGGATGCAACAATATGTGCACTTTACCGAAAGGGCTACTGCTTTGACACATTCGAAGAGACCAGTGTAACAACTTGACATAAATTTGCCATTGTCAGTACTTAAACCACAACACATTGACCACTTTATTTCCTTTTGAGTAAAGGAGTAAATGGCATGACAAATATCTTCACCTGTAGTAGATTCAAAAGGAAAATAGCTAAATAAAAGTCTTTCTGCACGTCCATTTGCTTTGAAATAACTTACAACAAATTGCATCGGTATTCTCAACAACTCGCAAAATATTTACTGTTACTGATTTGTTTTTTCGTCATCACCTCCATATTATCAGAAACTAATTTAATTCTTCGAGAGGCTATGTTATTGCAAAGAGGGATAGCATTAACTTTGTGAACATACTCATTACCGAACATACACAAACTGCATCCTTAATTCTCGGTTAAATCAAATTTTTACCAAACCTGTGATTTTTCACTATTTATGGCGATACAATAGGAGGCTTCAACAGTATCTTCATTAATAAAAACGGAAGACAAATGCATAACTATATTGCATTTATTTTTATTTTCGAGCAAACTTTTATAAAAGTCAGATGTTTGTCTTTGAAATCTGAGTGGTTAGTTTGTAAATGGCGAGTAAGTACAGTAGGTTTCGTTAAGACAGCTTCGTATTAGACAACACTTCTCAAATAACACATATTCAGGTCTAGGGACGTTCTCAATATTTATGAATGAAAATTTTTATGACAATTATTCTTCGCAATATTTTTTGTATTTTCCCAGTTGGAAAGCTGAAATTATAAGCTTCATTTCATAAATATAAGGCAATTTCTTAGGTTGCTCTTTGCAAGAATCAGTACGCGATGATGGAATGGGATCACTTACTAATTTATTAATATTTCTTTTCTTAGTACAAAATTTTAATCATTGCTCCATGATGAAAAAATACAAGTCAAAATAATTATAAAACTAGAGCTTTGATAATTTTGAAAGCAACCTAGGAACTGATTAGAAACAATATTATGGTAATTAAAACGGAGATATAGACAAAGCAGTGTTGCCAAACTTATTGAGATGTATTGTACACCACTTTGACTATTAATTGCTAAATGGCGGTGCGGTTAGTTCCTTAAGTTGTAACATTACGGTGACATTTTATAGAAAGCTATATGTTATTCTAATTTGCAAATATTCTGAGTTTGCATTTTGATAATATAAAGTTATAATACAATGTACGTACTACATCCACTTCGAAATTTTATAGTACATAAAGTTTTAATTATCATACAGAAACTAATATCTAGAGAGTACTTTTGGCAACACTGTGACAAAAAATGGACAAATTACAACCAACTAGGCTGCCTTGGTTGACACTGGGATTCTATCAAATTCTCCACAGAAATAAAACTTAAGACATTACAAAAAGACAATGCCAAATTGCCTGCACTATTATTGTCAGGCGTAGGCCGGTAGTCTTACCCCCCTTCGATAGACACTAGTCCTGCAGATAAAATATATGCCTAAACTGAATTTAAAACATTTGCATCTTTCTGAAGTAAAATCATTTCAGACACAATTTTATTATTTTTTCCATAATACAATATATTTTGGATTGGAAATGCCGGTTGTTAAAACAGATTTATATCTTTTTTCTTATATTCAATCTATTTATCAATATCTACCATTACATTTTTTCTTCCACGTACTACTTGAGACCATTTCATGTACCTCTAGGAATACGCATACCACAGGTTGAGAAACGCTGTTCAATAGTGTGCATATTCATGAGTAACTCACTTAATTTCGTATAATTTTTTCTCGCAAATCAAAAGGAACCATTTTATTTTTTATCAAAGAAAATATCTTCTTAAATTTTCTTCCTAATATCTTGACAACTCTCTCTATAGATTATGGGGCTGGTTAATTCACTATTCAAACTTTAAAATAACGATTTTCAAGTAAAAATCACACACGCATGTTTAAGATTAAGTTTCACTTTTTGTACATCATCAAAATAACCAGTCGACAGAATATTATTGAGAAACGTGTAAATCGTAGAAGATCTATATGTCATTTAAATATTTTAGTTGTACTATTTAAATAATCGAACTTTTACCCTGAAATTAATTATTTTAAATTATCTAATATTACTTATTCAGAATTCAAACAACAAAAATCAGCGTTATATTTACAAAATTTTCACAGGACTAGTTTCAATGGTTTTACCGAACCACCATCCTCAGCTGCAAAACCGCAAATGAACAAGATAGGAAATAATGATTAGATAAGATAAGAAAGCCTGGACAAGAATAAGCAAGTGGCGCCATCTGTTGGTGAAGCCAGAACTAAAACATAATTTCTTTAAAGGCCGAAGGCAAATTTGGATTTGGAATTAGCATCGTTTACTAGAACAGAAAGATTTTTATGAATGTGAAATGTCTCTAGAAATGTTGGTCCGAAAATCACACTTTCAATTTTTCTGCTGCCAAAATTATTCAAAAACATCTTCCATTGGAGAAATGGATTTTCTAGAGGCATTTCACATTCATCAAAATCTTTCTGTTCTAGTTAACGATCCTAATTCCAATCCAAATTTGCCTTCGGCCTTTAAAGAAATTATGTTTTAGTTCTGATTTCACCAACAGATGGCGCCACTTGCTAACTATGAGTCTGTTAGATGCGTAAATAATTTTCGCCTAATTACTTTATTAAATATCCAAAATAAAAATTCCCCAAATTAAACCTAAAAGATTAATCAAAGCCTCTAAAAGGCACTAAGAAGAGATTAAAGTCTTGATTTACAAAACGCTGTGTTACTCCTAAGATAATTTCACAGTATTACTTAAGATAAATTTTCACAGAAAATCACAGCATGTCATTTATCTGAAAATAGATGGTAAATTATAATTTAAATAGAAAATTTTCATTTAAATTTTATTGTTTTTGAAAACATTAAAGTTTTCAATAAAAATATCCTTTGATGCAGATAAAAGTTATGATACAGTTCTGTGAATTTAAAATTAAAATTAATTTCGCAGGCGATATCTTTTATCGTCTGCCCGTGCATTTCCAGAATGGCAACATTAAATGTTGTAAGGTTTGGATTAAAAAATTGTACGAGGAATTTTCTTTCAGATGGAGTAGTTTCCTGTTTATGCCTTCAAAAATCTAAATAAAATTTAATAATGTTATCAGAAATGGATTTTATTAAGAAAAACCTAGGTTTTACTTTATTTCAATATTTTGTCAATTTATTCAAGTATGGGAAAATGAATCGTATCTTATTATGATGTAGAAAAGATGAAAAAACTACTTTTATGTAGTGATAAAATATTTCCTTTTTAAATATTTAAATCGTTTATGTAAATTTTAAGATATATCATTTCCTATCTTTCAGGCATGTTGATATCTGAAAGAATTCGAAATGAAGATGGGCATTCAAGATAAAATATCAAATTATTTTAGAGGTAAGACGATTTGAATGAATTTTGTTCGCGTATATAAACATTACTCCAGAACATTCGAACTATGTGATCTTAGTTATTGATCACTGCTTGAAGTAATAGCAATTGCTTTCTTAAGGTAACCGACTACGTTCGACATCCATAATTTGGAAAATAGTGCGATTAAATCTATTAAATGGTGTTATTTAGAAAAGTACTATTTAAAATGATAGAAATAGGTGCACATTATCAGAGTATATTTTTTTCTGACATTTTAGGTTGAAAAAATTGTTAAATTTCAGGATTACT